ACATGAGAGAAGCCTCCCACAAGAATGATAAAAACATCAATTCATCCGGGCATCCCCTGGGCAACGTCCTTGCAGACGGCCAATTCTCTCACACCAGAAGCGACTTGCAGTTTCTCAAGTCACTCCTGACACGACAAAAAAAAAATAGCTCTACTTATTTTATTTATTGGCATGTTTATAACCTGCTCTTTGCCAAAGATAGCAGAGTAGTTAGAAATAAACATGTATACTTTTCAAATTTCATACAATAAATAAATAAAACGAGACCACAGTGGCTCATAAATAGTCAAAGATTCCCTAAACCTTGGCTCAGTTATCAATTGAAACGGAAACTGCAGATAAGAAATAAGAAGACTGGGACTTTGAAGAGCAGCAAGACCCTGAATTAGAAACATACATATCGGTAATTGAATACCGAAGTCTGGATTGTTCATGGCATTCTGTGTATGATTGTGAAAGCTGGACAGTTAAAATGCTGACAAAAAGAAAATCGTGTCACTTGAAAAATGGAGTTGGAAGAGAGAACAGATACTATAGATGGCCAAAAAGGACAACTAAATAGGTCATTGACCAAATCAAACATGAACTCTCCTTAAAGATGAAGATGACCAAACTGAGACCATCACATTTTGGAGATATCATGCGAAGCCATGACTATTAAGAAAATTTAATAATATTTCATAGAAGCCTAGAGCTGGATGAAACCTCATGGGCCATCCGGTCCAACCCTCTGACAAGAAGCAGGAAAATCGTATTCAACATCTGGAATTCCAGGGTCAGCTGTGAGTGGAGAATCACCCCCAAGCTGCAGACCCGGTCTTCGAGTGGGGTTACCCCATCCAACATAGGTAAACCTATCCCTTGTTCTGCCTTCCGACTGACCAGGAGTACCTCTGTTTTGTCTGGATTTAATTTCAACTTGTTCACCCTCATTCAATACTGATGACAGGCACTAGTTTAGGACCAGGATGGCATCCTTGGCATTAGGTGGAAAGGAGTAATAAGAGTTGGGTGTCATTGGCATAAATTTGACACCAAACTTCAAAACTCCAGATGATCTCTCCCAGTGGTTTCATGTAAATGTTAAATCGCATCAATGGTACTAACAGAAAATAAGCAATTAAAATCCTCAAAGCTGATAAAAACTGTGTTCCAAGCTAAAACCACAGCCCCCCCTCCCTGGCTTGATCCTAAAAACCTCCTTCTTTCAAACCTTAATCTTCTTTAAATACCGACAAGGCAACAGATCTGATCTTGGAAGCTAGGCTACATATATGAAAGGGAAAGGCATGTACACTGGCAAACATGAGTTCTGCCACGTCTATGTGAGCCCTAAATCTGAAGCAAAAGCAATCCAAGGATCAAGAGAAGAAATGGGCACTGCTGAAAATGCATCCTGCTCCAAACAGGACAAATACATTCAGATTCAAGGAGCTAAATCTAATTCTAAACCCAACCACAGCAGACTCGCTGAAATCAATAGAACCCATTCATTCCAATGCATATATTCCATGGTATGACACTCATAGTGCTATATATTTACCGGTGCACACAGTTACAAGCCCTAAATAACATATGAGGTAAAAGCTTACAAATGGACAAGCAAAAATAAAACTATCTTGCTAAAAGAGCTCTTCTGACGGACAGAATCCTAATCACAAATATGGATGCCCACTGCTAGGAAATTCACATTTACAAAGCACTGTGCTAACTAAACTCCAGCTCAGCCAATGGATTCATTTCCTGCCCTCGCAAATTTAAACTGTGGCCTTCCCTTACAAAAAAAATACTAAATTCAAAGAAAGGTGTAATTAAACACAAGTACGGTTCTTATAACTCTGGCGTAAATTTCACTTTTCCAGTCACATGCCAAGATTGGAATACTGCAAACATTTCTTTTAATTCTTTGGAAATGACATCTCACGCTGTCCATAATATCTGTGGGGGTTGGTTCCAGAACCCCTGTGGATACCAAACTCCACAGACTTTCAAGTATAATTATATATAATGGTCTAGTAAAATGGTATCTCTTTAAGAAAACAGTAAAATCAAGGTTTGTTTTTTGGACTTAAAAACATTTTCAAGCCACAGTGGAATCTGTGGATGAAGAATCCATGGGTACAGAGGGCCAGCTGTACTTCAGAACACTGCTTCTTGAACTGTGGGTCCTGACCCAAATGGGGTCCCCTTCTCTCAATGTTGGGATCATGAATTTTTTTGCTGCAAGGGCATCAATTAAAAAAAAACACTTTTTAATATATAAAAAATAATCAGGGTTTTTTTTTTTTTTTGCATCAAAACGTTATTTCAAGAGCTCCTCCTGGGTAAAAAGGTTGGGAAAGGCTGCTCTGGAACTTGTTTTCTCTGCTGAATGGGACAGAATCATAGACATGTGGTTGATCTGGGAATGGAGGAGCTTTCTATCGTTCCATGACATATAGTCATGAATGCAGGCAGATTTTCTAGCTCTCAGAACATTGCTGGGTTGGGAAGCCAATGAGGATGGACTGCCTGCGATGTTTAGCTTGGAGAAAAGAAGACTGAGACAAGGGGACATGATAGCCATGTTCCAATATCTGAAAGGATGTTACACTGAGGAGGGAGCAAGCTTGTTTTCTGCTTTTGGAGACCTGGACACAATGGAGCCATTGAGTCAAATGGCAGGAAAAGAGAGTCTGCCTACACCTTTGGAAGATCTTCCTGATGGTTAGAGCTGTTCTGCATGCTTTTGCCTTGGAGTTTCTTTTTCTGGAGGCTTATAAGCAGGAGGGCTTGGATTGTGTGTTCCCACCTGATAGAAGAGGGTTGGACTGGATGGACTTTGGGGGTCTCTTTCAATTCTAAGATGAAAGAGGAGGAGAGAAAGAGGAAGGAGGAGGAAGAGATGAAGAAAAGGAAGAAGGGGAGAAGAAGGAGGATAAAAGGGAGAAGAGGAAAAAGAAGGAGGAGGACTAAAAGAAGGAGCGGAAGAAAAAGAGGAGGGAAAAGTAGGAAAAAAGGAAGAGGAAAAAGAAGAAGAAGGGGAAAAGGATGAAGGAGGGGTAAAAGGAGAGGAAGAAAAGGAAGGAGGAGGAGGAGGAGATAAGGAAGAAGAGGAAGAAGAGAAATGGAAGGAGGAGTAAAAGGAGAAGAGGAGGAGGAGGAAGGAGAGGAGGGAGGAGGAGGAGGAGAAAAGGAAGAAGAGGAATAAGAATAAAGGAAGAAGGAGAAGTAGTAAAAGGAGAAGAGGAAGAAGAGAGGAAGGAAGGAGGAGGAGAAAAGTAAGAAGATAAAAAGTAAAGAGTCAAAATAAAGGAAGAGGAAAATGAAGAAGAAGAGGAGGAAAGAGGAAGAGGATGAGAAAAGGAAGAAGGCATAAAAGGAGGCGAGAAGAAGAGGAAGGAGAAGAAGGAGAGGAAGAGGAAGAAGAGGAGGAGGAAGAGAAAAAGGAAGCAGAAGGAGTAAATAGGGAGAGCAAGAAGAAGCAGAGGAGGAAGGAGTAGAAGAGGAAGAAGAGGAGGAAGGGAGAGAAGGGGAGTAGGAGAAAAGGAAGAAGAGGAAGAAAAAAGGAAGGAGTAAAACAAGGAGAGGAAGAAGACGAGGAGGGGGAAGGAGGAGGAGAAGGAGAAGAAGAGAAGGAGGAAAAGAAGAAGAGGAGGAAAAAGAAGGAGTAACAGGAGGAGAGGAGGGAAGAGGAGGAGGGGAGAAAAGGAAGAGGAAAAAGAAGGAAAAGAAGGAGGAGGAGGAGCAAAAGGAGGAGAGGAGGAAGAGGAGGAGGGAGAAGAAAAGGAGTAGTGTTTCTCAACCTGGGAGTCAGGACCCCTGGGGGGGTCACAAGAGAGTGTCAAAGGGGTCACCAAAGACCATCTCTAAACACAATATTTTCTCTTGGTCATGCGGGTTCTGTGTGGGAAGTTTGGCCCAATTCTATCATTGGTGGAATTCAGGATGCTCTTTGATTGTAGGTGAACTATAAATCCCAGCAGCTACAACTCCCAAATGTCAAGGTCTATTTTCCGCAAACTCCACCAGTGTTCACATTTGGGCATATTGAGTATTTGTGTCAAGTTTGATCCAGATCCATCATTGTTTGAATCCAGGGTGCTCTCTGGATGTAGGTGAACTACAACTCCAAAACTCAATGTCAATGCCCACCAAACCCTTCCAGTATTTTCTGTTGGTCATGTGGGTTCTGTGTGGGAAGTTTGGCCCAATTCCATCATTAGTGGAGTTCTGAATGCTCTTTGATTGTACGTGAACTATAAATCCCATCAGCTACAACTCCCAAATGTCAAGGTCTATTTTAGAGTTTTTTAATACTGGTAGCCAGATTTTGTTCATTTTCATGGTCTCTTCCTTTCTGTTGAAATTGTCCACATGCTTGTGGATTTCAATGGCTTCTCTGTGTAGTCTGACATGGTGGTTGTTGGTGTGGTCCAGCATTTCTGTGTTCTCAAATAATATGCTGTGTCCAGGCTGGTTCATCAGGTGCTCTGCTATGGCTGACTTCTCTAAAATTACAACAGCAAAACAGCAGAGAGGAAACAACCAGGCACAACTTAACACCTCTCCAGGGGATTTTCCCAGGCTCAGCCCGCCTTCAAATGCTAATGAAGGTGATCAGTTGAAACATTCACACCTAGCTCCAGCAGGGAAGAGCTCCTTGCCCCACCTCAGCCATTCCACATATATATAAACCCATTTTCCTATTTCCAACAGACCTCACTACCTCTGAGGATGCTTGCCATAGATGCAGGCGAAACGTCAGGAGAAATGCCTCTAGAACATGGCCCTATAGCCCGAAAAACCCACAAGAACCTAGTGATTCCAGCCATGAAAGCCTTCGACAATACATTGAACAAAAATAATGTTATGGTTGGGTGTCACCACAACATGAGGAACTTGTATTATGGGGTCATGGCATTAGGAAGGTGGAGAATCAGTGAAGAGGAGGAAAGGGATGAAACAGGAGGATAAGGGGAGGAAGAGGAGGCAGGAGGAGGAGGAAAAGACTTCCCTACCAAATCTTGGATGAGTTGTCCCAGGAGGTCTTCCTCCGCTCCTCCTGGTGGTGGTGGTACTACCAAGGGCTTCTGGGCGGGGGCGGGGGAAGGGCGTGTGGGTCCGGCTCGGAGAAGGCCGTGGGCGCGGAGGGCCGGAAGCCCCAGCTGCCCTTCCAGGCCCTCCTCCGGGTCCCAGCGCGCAAGGCCCCCGCAGCCTCCCCAGCCTTGCAGGGGCTCCGGCGCCTGCTCTCCCGCCTCCCGCGCCCTTTTCCCGCCCCGCCGCTGCTTCCTGGGGCCTCCTTCGGCCAGCTCGGCCCGCCAGCGGCGGCGAAAACGGGCCAGCTCCGCGTCCCCCATGACAACCCCGCCGACCGCCGACTGAGGGAGAAGGGAAGAACGCCGCCAAGAAGCCGCTTCCGGTCTTGCGGTCCGACGCTGTTGGACGCCCGAGCGGAAACCGCGGCTGCCGCTCCGGAGTTCCGCCGAGTTCATTGCGTAGTGTGTACAGCTTGGGAGCGTCGCTACAGGAGGCAGGCAGCTTGACATGACACCACTTCCACTGCCCTGGTTCTCCAGTATGCTGATGACAATGTCGTCTGTGCGCATACAGAAGAAGATCTACAAGCCACTCTAAACACCTTCACAGAAGCATACACGAAGCTTGGCCTGTCAATGAACATCAAGAAAACCAAAGTGCTGTTCCAGCAGTCACCAGCCATCCCCTCCCCAATGCCAGAGATACAGCTTAACGGTGTAACATTAGAAAATGTTGACCATTTCCGCTACCTTGGCAGCCACCTCTCCACCAAAGTCAACATCGACACCGAAATACAACACCGCCTGAGCTCTGCGAGTGCAGCATTTTTCCGAATGAAGCAGAGAGTGTTTGAGGACCGGGACATCCGTAGGGATACCAAGGTGCTTGTTATAAAGCTATTGTCCTCCCAACCCTGCTATATGCCTGTGAGACGTGGACTGTCTACAGACGTCACATGCAACTCCTGGAACGATTCCATCAGAGCTGCCTCCGGAAAATCCTGCAAATCTCTTGGGAAGACAAGCGGACAAACGTCAGTGTGCTGGAAGAAGCAAAGACCACCAGCATTGAAGCGATGGTCCTCCAACATCAACTCCGCTGGGCCGGCCACGTTGTCCGGATGCCTGACCACCGTCTCCCAAAGCAGTTGCTCTACTCTGAACTTAAGAACGGAAAACGGAACGTTGGTGGACAGGAAAAGAGATTTAAAGATGGGCTCAAAGCCAACCTTAAAAACTCTGGCATAGACACTGAGAACTGGGAAGCCCTGGCCCTTGACCGCTCCAGCTGGAGGTCAGCTGTGACCAGCAGTGCTGCAGAATTCGAGGAGGCACGAGTGGAGGGTGAAAGAGAGAAACGTGCCAGGAGGAAGGCGCATCAAGCCAACCCCAACCGGGACCGCCTTCCACCTGGAAACCAATGCCCACACTGCGGAAGAAGATGCAGAGCAAGAAGAGGGCTCCACAGCCACATGCGGACCCACAAGGAAACCCATAATGGAAGACCATCTTACTCGTCCAACGAGGGATCGCCTAAATTGCCCTGGTTCAATGAGACGGAATCCTGGAAGTTGTCGTTGAGGTGGCACCAGCCCTCTTTGGCAGAGGGTGCTGAAAACCTTGTAAAAACTACAGTGTAGAATCTAAATGTGAGTAGATCAATAGGTACCGCTCCGGCAGGAAGGTAACGGCACTCCATGCTGGCCACGTGACCTTGGAGGTGTCTACGGACAACACTGGCTTGTCGGCTTAGAAATGCAGATGAGCACCAACCCCCAGAGTCGGACTCCACTAGACTTAATGTCAAGGGGAAACCTTTACCTTTACCTAGAATCCAAAACAACAATAACAACAAGAAGGCAACGTTCACAGTCAGACAAAATGTAATTGGAAACACTTGATATAATGTTTCCTTTTGGGTGCTATTATGGTTCAGATGAATGATGGCCTCTTAATTTAAAAAGAGGGTTTTGAAGCAGCAGCCAGTACATGGCCGGAGAAATTATACTGCTTAGCCGGTTGCACCACCTGATAATCTGCAGAGAAGTAGCAGCCAGCAAAGAAAGGACCAGGGCATGGACATTTCCAGCCCATCCTCTGTTCAGACATCAGCCAGCATGCCAACGTCTTAAATCAAGAAACATCTTCCTAAGATCTACACAGAAACTTGCAAGAGTCCAAAAGTGGCTGGCTAAAACCCAGAACCTCAATCAGTGGCTGAAACTGGATTTGAAATTCCCTCCTGGGCACACAGAAAACTGGGCAACTTGGAAGGCATGAACAGACTGCACTCCGACACCACGAGATAATCTTAAGAAATGGGGCCACAAAGTGGAGTCCACGACATGCGAGTGTGGAGAAGAGCAAGCCACAGACAACTTACTACAAGGTGGTTTGAGCTCCACCACATGCACAACAGAGGACCTTCTTACAGCAACATCAGAGGCACTCCAAGTGGCCAGCTTCTGATCAAAGGACATTTAGTACAATGCCAAGTTTTTAACTTTGTTTGTGTTTTTTATACATTATCACTGTATTTTCAATTCGCTTCTGATACGATAAATAAAAATAAATTGGAAACACTTGAAATAATGTTTCCTTTTATGGGTGCTATTATGGAGAAGTCTCAAGAAACTGGAGGAGGGCAAATGTTGTCCCTATCTTCAAGAAGGAAAAAAGGAGTACCCAAATAATTACCGTCCAGTCAGCCTGACATCAAGACCAGGAAAGATTCTGGAGCAAAACATTAAGGAGGCAGTCTGCAATCACTTAAAAAGGAATGCTGTGATTACTAAAAGTCAACGTGGATTTCTCAAAAACAAGTCATGCCAGACTCATCTTACCTCTTTTTTTAATAGAGCTGCAAGCTTGGTGGATGCAGGGAATGTTGTGGATGTAGCATATCTTGTTTTCAGTAAGGCCTTTGACAAAGTTCCCCCATGACCTTCTTGCAAGCAAACTATTCAAATGTGGGCTAGGCAATATTACCATTAGATGGATCTGTAATTGCTTAAGTGACCCAAAGGGTGCTTCTTCCCAATGGTTCCTCTTCATCCTGGAAAGAAATGACAAGTGGAGCGCTGCAGGATTCGGTTCTGGGCCCAGTTCTGTTCAACATTTTTATTAATGACTTGGATAAAGGACATGTTTATCAAGCCTTCAGATGACACCAAATTAGGAGGGTTAGCTAATACTCCAAAGGACAAGATCACAATTTGAAATGAACTTAACAGATTAAAGAGCTGATTGGCCAAAACTAACAAAATGAATTTCAACAGGAACAAATGTAAAATACTCCACTTAGACAGAAAAAAATGAAATGCAAAGATACAGGATGGATGATCCTTGGCTCGACAACAGTTCATGTGGGAAAGATCTTGGAGTCTTCATGGACAACAAGTTGAACATGAGACAACAGTGTGATGCAGCAGCTAAAAAAGCCAATGGGATTTTGGGCTGCATCAAAAGGAGTGTAGTGTCTAGATCAAGGGAAGTCGTGGTGCCTTGACTCTGCTTTCGTCAGACCACACCTGGAATACTGTGTCTAATTCTGGGCACCTGAGTTCAAAAGAGAGATTGACAAGCTGGAAGGTGTCCAGAGGAAGAGGGCAGCTAAAATTATCAAAGCTCTGGGGACCACGAATCCCTATGAAGAGCATCTTAAAGAACTGGGTATCTTTAGCCTGCAGAAAGGAAGGCTGAGAGGAGACATTATAGCCATGTATAAATGTGTGAAAGTGTGTCATAAAAAAGAGGAAGCAGGCTTCTTTTCTGCTGCTCTTGAAACTAGGACTAAGAGCAATGGATTCAAATTACAGGAAAGGAGATTCCACCTGAACATTAGGAAGAACTTCCTGACCATACGAGCTGTTCAACAGTGGAACTCTCTGCCTTGGAAAATGGTGGAAGCTCCTTCTTTGGAGGCTTTTAAACAAAGGCTGGATGGCTATCTATCAGGAGTACTTTGAATGTGCTTTTCCTGCTTGGCATGGGATTGGACTGGATGGCCCATGTGGTCTCTTCCAATGCTATTATTCTATGATTCTATGGTTCAGATAAATGGTGGCCTCTTAATGAAAAAGAGGGTTTTGAAAATAAAGAGTTAATTGCTTATGAAATGATACATTATTTTTAGAAATTAGTAGCATATATACCTGGTATTGCCCAGGTGTCATTGGGATGGCCTACTTTTTTCCTTCTCCAGGTGTGAGTGACACAAGTACATATTGCTTCCCTTCGGCTTTTTCTTTGCTTCCTCTTTGGGGCGCATCTACACTGTTGAATGAATGCAGTTTGACACCACTTTAACTACCATGACAGTTCATTTGGGGTTCTTATTAATTTGGTGTCATCTGCACATTTTGATCAGCATGCACTCTCTAGCCATAAAACACAGTCTTCTGAATGATAACCGTCTGTTGCACCCAAGCCAGAATTCACCTTGCACTCAACACCAACCAGGAATCCAAAAGTAGTAGTAAAACAGTTTATTGAGAAAAGTACATATAAGAAGGAGAAGTCACCATAAGAAATAAGAAAGGCAAAATCCAATAGATAATGAGAAAAATAGTCAACAAGTAATAAGGCAAACCAAACTGGCAAAAGGAAAAAAAACATTCCAAAAGTTATAATCCAAACAGTCCAAATCTGCCCCATAAAACAAGGTACAGGAAAACCAGAATCAAAACAAGAGTGTAAAACCAGGAAAACAAGAATCAAAACATTAACATGAATCCAAAAGCAGAAACTTCTTAAAACATGAATCGAAACTCCCAAGATCTTCAACTCAAAACATTAACTGGAAACAAGATTTGAGAGCTTCACTGCTCTGCAGAGTTGCCTGATCTGCATTCTAAAGGGAACAATTATCTGATTTGAGGTCTACAAGCCATGAAGTCATGCCTGTGACCTTGACTGCCTTGCCTGTGAGATTTCTCACTGTTGTTTCTCACAGAGTCTCCATGACCTTCTTAATTTGCTTGCTTTTTCATTAAGATGAAGTCTGAGATTTCTGCTGACCGCAGGTGTGTTTTCAGGTGAACGTTCTCACCCATCCAACTCCTTATCTGGGGTGGCTATGAGACAACTAGGCAAAAAGTCTCCACCAGCTGGTGCATCTCCCTGTCTGCTGGACTCTGAGGCAGTTTCACTTTCAAGCCCATTCTCACTCTCTAAACTCCCCTCATTTCCCCATCCACAGTCCCAGGCCCTGGAATAACAATCTCCTCATCGTCATCAGCTGGCCAAACCACAACACCATCCTTCAGTCAGGCACAATATTCTGTACAAAAGCGGATTATTTCAGATATCTCCACCAAATGTCTTGAAAAAGTGTCCATTATTTGAGATGGCGAGAAGCAGCACATTATTATTGTCATGATTATTATTATTATTTGAATAAAAACAGAAACTTGATTCAAATCCTTGGGGTGCTCCCAGCCTCCCTGCAGTGTATT